GCTTCTGAGTCGCTGTGTGGGCGGGGCTGCGGCAGGGCGGGGCTGAGCCCGGATGGCGGCGCTGCGAGGCGGCAGGGGAGGAGCTGTGGGCGAGCTGCAGGTCCAAGCCCCGCCCCCTTGTGGGCGAGCGTAGCCGGTGCCCCTCCCCCCCGAAGTCCCCTGGTTGAGCCTCTCGGGGCGCTGCTGTCTGGCAGCACGTCTCGCTTTTCTCGGCCTGGGCCACTTTGAAGACGTTGCGGACTTCAACGCCCAGAATTCAGCTGTTGCCGGTCGGGGAATCCAGGCCCCTTAAAGTTGCCCCTTTGGAGAAAAATTCCTTGAATCCCTTATGGCAGGGGTCCCCAACCTTGGCCCCTTTGAGACTTGTGGACTTCAACTCCCAGAATTCTCCAGCCAGCTCTGCTCTGCAGTTATGCTGGCTGGAGAATTCTGGGAGTTGAAATCCACAAGTCTTAAAGGGGCCAAGGTTGGGACCCCTGCTGTAAAGTTTAGGGCTGCAGCAGCACTCGCAGGCCTCTCTCTATATGTTGAGACCCAAGGTCTGCCCCTTTTCAAGCAGCAAGCATGGCAGACTTTCAAAAAAATGGCAGGCTTAGCCTGACTGGTCTTTCTGGCCACTTTGAAGCCAGTGCCCGGAGCTGGTTCATGGGGCATGGGTTCAGTGCTGGGGTCCTGTTAGTTCTCTTCAGTGACTGGTATCTAGAAGCCACCCCTTCCTTTGGACCCTGCTGCAAGAGGTTTTGATTGCGGTGCTCACCTTTGAAGCCTTGAATACCCTTCCAGATACGCAAGGAGTCGTACAGCCAACCTCCCCCCCCCCCCCCCCCCCCCCCCCATACCTGGCAATTCTCTGATTCAGAGATGCTCTTGGTGAAGTGATTTTTCAGATGCAACAGCTTATTTCTTCTGCCCCAACTCTTGCCACACAGACACAAAAGATCACACGTCTGGCTACTAATCTGCACACATGTACACCTTGGGAGAAAAAGAAATCTACCACGATCTTAGAAAAAAATTAAAAGGTTTTCTTAGTGGAAAAGCAAGGCCTAAAAGGAGTGTTTGTGGCTATCATTCTGGAATAGCTCTCTGCTTAGTGTGACTGATGGCCATGCTCACCCTTCTTAGCCTTGTTTCCCTATCCCCCCCCACCCCCCAAAAAAACCCCAGCTTGCAAAGTACAGTAATATTCAAGTTCTAAGTACACACGTGGGCATGATTAAAGCCTCTGTATTTATCTAACTCCACTCTTTCTTGAACAAGCCATGTTGCTTTGTGAATCCCCCTTAATCCCTTCTCTATCTTGTCCCAGGTTGCAAGCTCAGCTGTTTTTAAAGAGCAGACCTGCATTCCTCAGAATGTGGTTCGATCCCTTGAGGGTCTCTGCCTTCAGGAGTCTCCCTTGTCTGGATTCTGTGTGCCATGGGCTGGAAGCGAAGGTTTTGCTATCCTCTGCCTAATGAGAATGGAGACATTGGTGTGGTTGGAAAGAGCTGCTCTGAGAAGTGGCACCTGGCTGTTTGGTGGCCTTGTCTTCCCCAGGATGAATAGGTTCCTAAGCCAGCTCTTGACAACGGAACAGTCATGAAGGCTCAGGAGATATAATTGCCAGAGTGATTACTTAGCACCCGTTGTAGAAAGCCTTAAATTGTTCCCCTCAAATTAACATTCTTTTTTTCACAAGACAACAGCTGGTCCACAGCTTGAACACAACAGCTAAGATAAATTAAATAAAACAGGCAATAAAATTCAAACCTAATTTAATTTGTGGTACATGCAGATGCTGGCAACACTTTTTAAAATACAACAAAATATGTGAATGTCAGCAAACTCCAATAACTGCTTGGTTCTCATTACTGCAGAGGTCACAAAAACAAAATAAAGCAAAATTAATGTGGCAAGGCCCAAGAAAGTGTGACTCTCCTTGGAGGACCAGTGAATTCAGGAAGACTTTCAGGCCTCAAGTAGCATCTCTCCTTGCCAAGCCCATCTGCAGTTGGTTGTGTTGTTCCTGGAGATAAAGGTGGGAGGGACGACAAGAGTGTGCTATTTTATTTATATCATGCCTTTCTATTTATGAAGCTGTGGTTTAAGTTAAACATCATTTCAGATGGAGAAACATTTGCCAGCCTGGGTGCTTGAGTCAGGATGAGCAGAGTTCCCAGTTTAGAATGACAGCATATGTTGACTTTAAGGTCTTGGGTTTGAACAGCATGTGGTGTTTTGTTTTGTGTTTCCTTTTTTTTTTTTAATATGCTGCGCTGAGTCACGTCTGAGTTGGACAACCATAATGATCCTTTCAATAAATAAATAAATAAACCTACACAAAAGAAAGATAATTAAGAGGGAGGATGGAGCTGGCGTCGCGACGGTACGGAGTGCGATCTTGAAGATCCGAGATCGCCACCAATATCTTTGCTTCTGGATGGTCCAAACGGATCTAAACCGTCCCGAAGAGATGGTGAATGTAAAGAGCACATACTGCTGATCCCAGGGACACTGCAAAGTCCTTGGTAGATCCAGGAGAAGCTCTTTTTGCCAGCGGCAAAGAGGCAGCCATTAAAGCTGCTGAAGTTGGGACAGCTCCGAAACGGAAGAGAATGGAAAGAGAAAGTGTGCCAGTTTGGTGAGAGTTTTTCTTTTATTTTAAGAGTTGAAAGAACACTCTAAGGAAAAGAAAGAATTTGTAAAATCTAAGACAGAAGTGATTAAGCGGCGATTTTAAACAGGAAGTCAAAATTAATATTTCTTTTTTTATTGCTGGACTCTTAATATATGATTTTTTTACTTTGAAATTGGACTGTTTTTTTTTACCTTTTCCTTTTTGTTTTTTTCCCCTTTTTTGTCTTTATAATATTCTAGGCTAGAGATTCCCTTTCAGCCTTTTTTTTCTTTTAAGTCTTTCTTTCATTTTTAATTAATTTTTCATTACATTTTGTTTGGAAAAGGAGGGGGAAAGTGAAAGTAGAGGAAAATTTGTAACATTTCCATCTAGAGGCTTAGAAACATTGTCTTCTTTTTTTTCCTTTTCGACCAGACAAAGCTGAGAAAGAACTGAGGCTTCTTTTCAAGGACTTTGAGCCTGTTTGATAAGATAGAGGGAAGAGCACGGGAGAGTGTTATTGCAGGTGCTCCTCTGGGTTTCTATCAGTGGCTGGAGTCTGGTGTTAAAATTTACAGAAAGAAGACAATAAGACTCTAGAGAAGAGAGTTATAAAATTGTTTGGAACTTAACAAAAAGCCTTGGATAATTAAATAGATGCAGTGTGTTCCTTCTTTTTTTTTTTTAACGTTGGGCTATTCTCTACTTCAACAAACCCCCTCCTTATTAGTTTACTATTTTTGATAGTTACTTGGACCTTTGGCCTTTTGGAATTTGTTTTTGTCTTTTTTTGCTTTTGGAGTCTATTTTTTATTTTTGCATCTTATTTTAAAGGGAAAATCTTAGTATTAATTTTTCTTTTTCGTTTTAAGGGAGTAGTTTTTTTTCTTTTTTCCTCTCCCTTCCCATCTCTTTATTCACCTCCTATATTGTTTTTTTCTGTGGCTCCTTTTTTCCCTTTTTATACCCAAGACTTTTTAATTGGATTAAGGTGTTGAAGAACCTGAAGAACTTTATTTATTTATTTTTTTGCCACCCACAATACTTAACAATTTTTCCTTTTCCTGTTTATGGTTTCTTCTTTTTGGGGGTTTTTTCTAGCTATTTAATCAATTGATTAGATTAAGGTGTACAAGAACCTGAAGAAACTTTTCTTTTATTCTGCTTGCCTTTTTTCTCCACTATTTTGACTTGGAATTACAACTGGTCACGACACGAGTGGATTAAGGTCTAGAAGAACCTGAAGATTTTGAATTGTTTGAAATGAGCAGGAAACTAACAGCGCCTGATTCTTCAATTCCTACTTCTTCCTCTTCACCATCTGGAGGACAACGCTCAATACAGACGATGTTACAACAAGAAAAAGAACAGGAAAAGGTGATGCTGAAGATGATAATGCAAGAAATTCAAAACATACAAGCAAGAACAGAGAATATTGAAAAGAGAACAGAGAACATTGAACAAAGAACAGGAAAAACTGATGAAAAGGTAGAGAATATCCAACAAATGATGATGAAGTATGATGAGAGATTCCAAAAAATTGAAGAAGATAAACAAACAGATAAAAAGATTGGAGATATTGATGGCAGATTAACTGTGGTTGAACAAGATAAAAGTGGGATGCTGGGATGGGAGATGGACAGATCAGAATTTTATCTTAGATTCCAAAACATAGAGGAAGAAAAGGGACAAAACTTGGCAGCGATAATGACAGAAATCTTAGCTGAGGCTCTGGAAATAACTAAAGAGAAGATGATGGATGGAATAGATGAGGTTTTTCGAGTTTTCACAAGATACACAATGAGAAATAGTTTACCAAGAGAAGTTCACATTAGATTTACAAAGAAAGCTATTAAAACGCAAATATTACAGGTGGCAAGAGAGAAAAAACATTGAAATATAAAGATAAGGAAATTGTGGTTCTGAAACAAATACCCAGAAGAGTGAGAGGGACTAAAATACTACTCAAAAAAGAGGTGAATTATAGATGGTTG